ATCCCGACTCCCACAGGAGTGGACATTGAGGTGCAGGGCAGCAGGGTAAAAGCTGTCGCTCGCGGACCCTGCAGTTTCCAGGAAACCTGTTTCTTAAAAAGATGTATTTATGCACACTAGAGCTGGGGTGCAGGCCAGCGGTGAGGGCGAGAGGGCTCCCCAGGGACAGAGTGGGGTGCAGGACGGGGCATCCACTGAAGCACGGCTGAAGGAGCAGAAGGGACAGGAAGGGCTGCTGCACCCGGGGTCACTCCTGGCCGGGGTGGGCTCTGCCGCAGGGGCTTGGACGCCCCCAGCGCTGCGCATGAACCCCGCGCCCCCTGGGAGGCCCTCATCTACCTGGTCCGTGCATCTCAGTCCCCCTGGGGGTGCACATTATACCTAAGGGGGCCTCGCACTTCGCGTGTTCTAAGACGGCTCGGTACCTGTGCTCAGACTGCAGTGGCTGCCTGCGGTGGCTGGGCTCATGCCGGCTGGTCAGGGAGTGGTCACCTCCGCGTAGGGGAGGGCTCACGTGCTGACCCTCGCTGTGTCTTTAGTGTTGGTATTGCCTTCAGGTGCAGATGTTCTGGAACTTTGGGGGGGGCCGATCACGAGAGGAACAGGGGTTCAGTTGCTTTCAGCCTGTTGAAGTAGGACAGGGTCATGAGCATCTGTTCAGACACCAAACCCCGGGGTGATAATGAAATAGTTGGGTGTTTCTGCTCTCAGACAATCATGACATAAGCGGAGGACAAATGCGTAAAAAAAAAAAAAAAAAAACAACCTAGAGCTTTATAGCAGCCTCTGGCTTCTGCCTGGCTCACAGGAGGGCACTGAAGTCTCCACTGGGTGACTGTGCTAAAATGTAGGGGGACCTGTGGGGTGCCGGGGTCAGGTTCAGCTACTGAGCTGTCCATGGCCATTGCGGCCTGCGTCCATCCCGGGAGTGACCCTCAGGGCACAGCAGACTCTTCTGTCTCCCCGCTGCCCCTCAGCAGTGGATTCCAGTCCATCTGCCTGCTCTGCTCCCCACTCTGTTTCTGGTGAAGCCTCTCACCACCCCTGTACCTCTGGCCCGCACCCCAGTTCTCTGTGCATACATAAATCTAATTTTAAAAAAGAATGTTTTAGTTCTTAATTAAACACTATCATGATTAAGTGCAATTTTGAAATCAGCAGTGTAATAATGTGAGACTAGAATGAGGAAGCAAAATAAGAGAAGAAAGGGAAGAACTGAGAGCAAAGGAAAACCATAAAACGAATGTAAATGGACTTTACACCTGATCTTAGCCAAAAGGCTGAGAAGCCCTGAATTTAAATAGCCTTTAACCAAACTTCATTAAAATAAGAT